GTCTCCTGTCAGATTAAAGTTATCATTTTCGCCATAAACTTCTTTGTTATCGTTATCCTGACTATTTTCATTATTTTCTGTTGTCGGTTCTACCAGCTTACCTTTTCTTTTCAGGTTACTAAATCTATAACAATATCAATTGTACATATTTTTAAACATATGTAAACAAACACACAAAATTATAACTTTAACCTAAATTTTAATTTCATATTTGTAAAAGAACTATTTAACAGTCAGAAACATAATCTAATTTGCAAAAGTTTTGATAGCAACAATGCCTACCTTGAAAATAAAGATCTTATTGGCTAGTTACATATTGATCAGGCAGAAGTTCTCTCCTCAGCTGCATGTGAACCTGCTCAGGGCTCATTTTATTACCTGATTCTTCTCCACGAATAAAGTATTTATACAACAGTTCTTTCTGCTGATTTGAAAATCTGAAAGAACTTCGAACTGGTATAGCCCAACCTTGCTATAGAAAAATGTTCATGCAATGTGGTTTGTCTTTTACGGAAGCACTGTTAGAGGATGAAGAAATTGGCATATTTAGTTGTAAAGTAATTTTCATCTTATGAACAAACGAGTTGCGAACTTTATCCAATGATTTTAATGATTTCGGAACTGTATGAAGACCGGATGTGTTCTTCTAACTCAGCATCGCTTTCAAATGATAAAGTACAATTCATTTCAGTGCAAAATCTTAATGAATATAATTGCCTGTCACTTCTTTTCTGTTTTTCCTTAAGTGACTTGTTACGCTTAATTGAATTATCTGTTTTGCTATATAGCAACAACAACTTAATCAAAGGTTGAATTTTAAGATTTCCATACTCTTGTTCAATTGCCTCACCGATATTGAAATAACGCCACATCTTTATACTTTTCTCACCAAACTCAAATGAGTGATAGTTGCTAATGTTCTTAATCTTTGGTCCAGTAACTACAGTTTTATCATTGCTAATTTGAGCAACTGCTACTTTTGCATCTTTAGCGCCAAAACTATAATGCATAGCCTTGTGTATATCTTCAGCAGTCAAAAGTTTATTACCAGAGTCAACTAACTCCTTAAAGTTGTCTTTACAACTGCACTCTCACATTGATCTTTTCCACAACAAGGTTCATTATAATCATATCTCAGCAACTTTATATCTCTCTCTTTGCATACATTGTAGATTGCTTCAGCTGAAAGATTTCCCTGATAGCAGCCGGCATTATCAGATTTGGTAAACATTTTCTTGATATGCGGTTGATCAATTCTGAATTGGTCTAAAACTGCAGTGGCTAACGAAACAACATCACCTATTCCCTGATCACACCTATACATTGAAGTAAAGTAAACACGTTTGAATAACTTTCCTGCTATTTTTACGAAGAATGTATCCACATGTAAACTCCTTCCTTTCTTGCCAAAATACTCTCTTTGGCCCTCTCTGTATCGAACCGGAAGAATTTTTTGACAAGAATCTTTAAGCCAGAAAGCAGTTTCATCGTTTAATTGCTTAAAAGCTTCGATTTTTGCCTTTTTCTGTTGAGAATCTCTCATCAGGTGTTTTATGTAGTTGAATACATCCTTTACAGCAATTTCCAAATCATAAATAGAATCAGCATCAACAGAATTTTGAATTGTTAGTTCTTTGATCATCTCGATAGCTTTGCACAAATCATAGCAATCGGCACATACCACTTCTGATATCTCTGTGTTGGATTAAAGATTTTTTTCAGATGGATCTGATAAGGCATGTTTTGAGCTATGAGAAGAAATGTTTGAGTCATTGACACTACAATTGGTTTGATAACTTGTTTTCAAATACCTTTTTCCTTTTTCAAGGGCAGCTTCGAGAGATTTAGAACTAAATCTTTGTGCCAATTTTTGTAATGTTTGAAAACCATTCATACCTGAAGCAGTAACATCATCTAATCCAGCTAAGCTTTTTCGATTTGAAGGTTTTATTGCATGCAATACTTTCCACAAACTTGAATCAGATAATGGTATATAATTGTTTTCACTACAACTTTTTCGATAGAACATGGTAGCGTGGCTATATTTTGTCGTCAGTATTGTATGCACTATCTTTTGTTCTTCACCGCTGTCGTATTTTAATTTCGTTATTCCATAAGCAACATCATGCAAAATACCGCTTGTAAATATAAAGTCTAAGAAATGTTCACACTTTGTTTGATCAAGACTAGATCGGACGAATACTTTCTTCTCTTGAAATGCCAACCCTTTATGAGATGCATGCCATTTTCTTGCTGTTTCTATACGATGTTTGGTACACTCAAATGTGTTCATTATAAACTTTTTGGTATACTTGGTATGGTCTAATAATGAGAGGATAACTAACTTTCCCATGGAATCACTTTGCTTATATACTTTCTGAGCACAAATAATTTCAATTGGGAGAGGGCTATTTATTTCATCAACATTTTTACTGTTAAGAAAATCTATAAGTATTTCTTCTTGCCCAGGAGCAACAGCTTCCGCAATTTTTTTCTTTAATAAGTTTTCTAGGCGAACATACTTGCGTTTTAACTTATCTTTAGTAGTATCTTCCAGATATTCGAACTTCCTTTTTAATCTAAATTTTATTGGACTTGCATTAAGAACCTCAGTTACACTCTCACGCCTTCTTAGTGATTCGTCCAAAATTTCTTGTGAAACATTAATTTCACCGGGATCAAATTCTTCATCTGGAGTAGCAGGTGTCATATATGTTTGTTCTTGTTGTGTTTGTGTTTCTGTACATAAATTGGTGTTTTCGTTGACTCTAAATAAAGCAGTTTCTTGCTTTAAATGGGTAAAACACAGCATTGCACTAACTGAAAATACTTCATTGTATCGCTTTGACATTGATATGACGACATGTATTGGTGACGCCCTTAAAGCGGGAGATTTTTTTCCTTATATATTTAGATGGTGAGGATGAAAGCATGTTTTTGGAGAACTCCATGCAATACCAAACGTGTACCGGTGAAAAGCACATATTTGTTCATCCTTTTCAAGATTTCTTTTAAGTCTATTTGCAATAAGTCTATTTTCTTCCCAAATATTATTATCGTTTAATCGCATGACCTAAAAACAATTTTTTAAACAATTATTAAGTGTGTCATTTAAAGCATTGTTTATAATCTGACTCGAAAAATGTTTACAAGTTTGAAATACATTGTTGTTATTATAAAAATACAATATTGCAAGAGTGTGATTAATTTAGTGATTATTTATTAAAAGAGTGAGGAATTAATTAAAAGAGCTATTTTTTGTTGTTTTAAGAACTTTGTCTCAAAATCTTATTGCAGAGAAGTTATAAAGTATGTAATTATAAAAATTATATTACAGTCTGCGTAAATTTAAAATACATAATTACCTTTAAGTTGATGAGGTGTTTCTTAACATCAATATCTCCCAGCTGATGAATGTAGAACATTTTGTTTATAATTTTATGTTTTTTGAATGATCCACAATTTCCTTTTGAAAAGCAACAACAGTTTTCATAAAAATATTTGTTTTGTTCCATACTCAACTAAAAACAAGTTCTATTTATGCAGTACCTATTTCTCAATAGCAACGATAAAATATCTACTCTATTTATGCAAATTTTAAAGATCGTTAAAATAAAGTTAAGACATTTTTATGGTAAAGTAAACAACCGCCCACTAACTTGTTTCTCCACAATCGTGATATCAGCGATTCTTCTTCCATTCGATCACCACAAGTTATTTGGTTATGACGTAAATTTAAATAATTTACTTCTGATCGTGTATGGTTTTTTATTATTATTTATTTCAATTGTTATGATTTCTATATCATAGTCAGAAACGCTTAAATTTTTTCTAAACATTACGTGCAATGTTTTGTGTAATGCTAATTGCTAATTTTGGATGATAGAAATTTTATTGTGAGCGAAAACCTCATCTGTGTGTCCAAAAAAATATCTCTTCGTACTTAATCATTTTTAACAATTTGTACCTTTATTTTTAACTTAACATCTAAAGAGCACAGTTTTTTTTTTAAACTATGTTAGGGTCATCTTATATTGACCATTTAACATAATTATATTTTTACAAAACTTAGCGCCTCTGCCGTAATAGCTCATTTTGTAAGTATACTATAACATTTTTTTCCAATTTCAAGCCTTTATATATTAATAGGCCTTAGGTATCACATAACTTTCTTTGCATTTTTAGACTCAATACCTTTGATAATTTCAAATCCTAAAAGAAAAATTGTGTGCAACACTTCGCCGCTAGAATTAACTCCGATTAAAAATTGACAAAACTGATTGATTTTGTACTTTTGAACTATTATAATTAGCCAACCGCACAGTGTCACGCAACTTTTTTATTTTTTTTTGGAGAGAGCTTTTGGGTTACGTCTGATATTAACTACAAAAGCTATGTGCAACTTTTTGCCTTGCCTTAAAAATGGGTTCAAATGTGGCAAAAACTCAATTTCTCAAAATTTTTAAAAATTGACTCTTAAGCTTTAAAAATTTTTAGTATTTAATTAAAACTCCTATTAGATTAAAGCTGCGCACAGTGTTATAAAATAGGTTCTAACCTTAACTTTCTGACCCGGGAAAACCCTTTGGCGGAATGATAGCCCTTACTATGGGGATCACTTAGATATAAGTATCAAAATCAGATTACAACGTCCTGGCAAGTTATTTACATTTGAATTTTCATCCTAGTTAACACAAAACGTGTTTTAAACGTTTAATATACGTATTGATACGTATTAAAACGTATTATAAACGTGTTAAACACGTCTTGCGTTTAATAAAATACTTTATTGATTGCACAAATATGCAATATGAGCGCTTATTTTCCTTTTTGTAGTATTAAAAATCTCCAATTTACATAAATATAAACAAGGAAAGCAAAATAATATATTCTTGAAGTTATACAAGTAACAAACATAAAATATATTCAGAAAAAAAGTTTCTTTTAAATGGAACAAATTCAAAACAACTTATTCTCAAATCCCTTCTTAAAATGACTTTTCACAAACAATGTTTAGTATTGAAGTCAACAATGCAACATTGCAACTTCTTACTGTATTCTGGATGATGATTGGGTCTTTTGTACCTTTGCCAATGTATCTGAAAGTTGTGATGCATTGCTTCTGTTGCCTGTTCTGAGTAAAGCCCAAGAGCCTGGCCATATCTGTCGATGAAATCTTTTACATGAAAAAATACTGCATGGACCTTGGGTGTTACAGACACATTTTGCAATGCCAGATAAGACACTCTGAATGCTTCAATTATTTGTGGGTAGTTTGGATTAAGGTTGCACCCAAAACAGCCAGATACTACCGCATTGAATTTTCGAAAAGCATCAATGAATGGGATGGCTGCATAGCATGAGTGTTTCTCAGCGATTGATTGAAGAATATCAATATTGTGTAGCAGCTTTCTGGACTCATTTCCTGCAAAATGTCCACCATGGTAAGGTTGTTGTTTAATGTGTAATGCATCAGTCCAAAGAGTTACTCGAGGAAAAACTTTAAGCAGCGCAGCAAAAAGATGATTAACAACTCTAATAAAGAGATGCAATTCCATGGGAGGAAGAAAATTCAAAACCAAAGTGTCTCCAGGTAGTTTAAATATTGGAGAATGAACAACATTTTTATAGTCACGAGCTTTTCTAATATTGGAACCAGCTGACTTGAAGAGTGAGACATTTTTTTCCAGAGATTCAAAAGTCCTCAATTTCCCTTGATTTACAAGTTCTTTTGAACCAGATTCACACCAGGTGCAGGGATGTGCACTTGAGTGTGCTTGAAGCCCACAAATTATATTAGCAAGTTTTAGATCACAGGACATGACAAACTCCTGGTCTTTCAATTTAATCAACTCAAATACTTGCAAAACGTTAGTATAACTTTCTTGAAGCTCCTCACAGACAGCAATGACTAGTTGTTGTTTTACACCAGTGTCCTTAAAAACCTTGATTGTGCAGTTGATTTTTGCTGGGGGAATGCAAGGTTCATGATTTAATTCAATAATTCCCAGGGTAACTTTCAGAAACCCACCTCCTCCGTCAATTCCAACCTTTACAATGTGATTTTTTGATGTACTTCTCATGGCTATAATTTCATTTTTAAGCTCATGGAAGTTCTTGCAATGTATGACTGTCCTCACACATCCAGCGTGATCTTGAATTAATGAACTTGTGAAATGATGTACAAGTTGCTTGCTGAATTTGTCAAATTTTATGGCGTAATTTTTTTCAACAATCTGTTGTGAGGTTGACTGATTAATAGTAGCTGCTAACCTCTTAATGCCATTGTTTGAAAGCCCTGTGTTTGCTTGAACTTTAGCAAGGTCTTTTACACTTATTGATGAATTTGAAGAGAAAAGTTGTCTAGCTGATGACGAACCTATAGTGAATACAAAAAGTTAAAAATTTAACTTATCATTAATTTGAACTATAAAAAACTATATAAAATTTATACTTGGTGTTACTGGAAGCATTCTTCCACCATAAAGTTGACTTAATCGAACAGTTCCATGTGGAGAAGGAGCTTTATTTGAAACAACAAGAGCTGCAATTCTTTCTGATGCCAAAGGATCCTTTGTTACTACAGCAACAAGATTATTTCTCAAAGTGCCTTTTGTGCAGTTGTGAGGCAATCCTCGACCAATAATTGAAAAACAGTCTGAGCATCTTTTTTCTACTGTTAAAGAAGGTGTTCTAGTTGCTGAACTTAGTGCGAATTCAATTTTCATTTGACCATTGTGTCTCAGTTTACCAATTGAACAGATCAAGCAGTTACAGTGAGAGTCTCGAGTTTCTGGTCGAAGTTTTATAGTCTCAAACTTATACAATGATGGGAGTGTGATGTCTTCTCCACTTTCCTTCCTTCTTAAACAAGAGCGACATTTTTCACATATTCCAAGTGGAACTTTGTCATCATTAAAGTTGATTTTTTCTTTCAGTATAATCTGACATCTTTCTTTTAGATTTGATGTTAGCTTTCGTTGACTTTTACTAAAACAAAGAAAACAAACAGATTTCCTGCATTCTTGGTGGTTTTTAGCAGTATTTGGCATTTTCGGTAAAATTAGATGTGCTCAGTTTAGCTCTCATTAGTAAAGTAAAAACAACGTGCTTTTACCCAGAATTCAAAAGTAGAAATTTATTCCAAAATAATTTATGTCATAATTAAATACGTTTCATATCAATTAAAGCAGTTTTTACAAACTAATCATAGTTTTGGTATGTAGAAATGCAAAATAAGCTGTCATTCCGCATGTTTGTGCAATCAATATATTTTATGTTTGTTACTTGTATAACTTCAAGAATATATTATTTTGCTTTCCTTGTTTATATTTATGTAAATTGGAGATTTTTAATACTACAAAAAGGAAAATAAGCGCTCATATTGCATATTTGTGCAATCAATAAAGTATTTTATTAAACGCTAGACGTGTTTAACACGTGCATAATACGTTTTAATACGTATCAATACGTATATTAAACGTTTAAAACACGTTTTGTGTTAACTAGGATGAAAATTCAAATGTAAATAACTTGCCAGGACGTTGTAATCTGATTTTGATACTTATATCTAAGTGATCCCCATAGTAAGGGCTATCATTCCGCCAAAGGGTTTTCCCGGGTCAGAAAGTTAAGGTTAGAACCTATTTTATAACACTGTGTGCGCTGAAAAATTCGATCGGCACTCTGTACCATTTTCTGTTTTTGTTTGTTCGCTCAACAAATTTTTTTCGCAAAAAGGCTTGGAATATGTCTGTAATATAAGTTGAAAAATAAGTGTTTAAGGACTTGACGAAAAAGCCAAATTCTGAACTTTTGTATACTACTTTTTATATCTCTTTAGCGAAGTCACTTGTGTCAAAGTGCTGAGCGCTGACCAAACTCGTGATTAATATCTTTTTATATGTTATCTACATTATATCTATAAAACTTTAAAAAAATATATATTTATTTATTTATATATATATATATATATGTATATATATATATATATATATATATATATATATATATATATATATATATATATATATATATATATTTATAAGGGAGAGTTGTGGAAATTGGAACAGCTCCTTTATTGGAACAGTTCCTTAATTGGAACACTTAACTTTATTCAGAAACTGGAACATATTCTACTTTCATGAACATTTTTTCTCGATAATTCTTTTTCTGAATTATCAAGGAGAAGTCAAATGTAGCTGCTTATGAAATTTGTATTCTAAAAGCAACTTTGTCAAGGCATATAAGAGAAAAATACAAAATTGCTGCTGCAAATGTGAAGTTTCGTGGTCGATTTTCCACCTTACCCAAAAAAATTGAAACAGAACTAGCTGATCGTCGTTTTTTATTAGAATCGATGTTTTTTGGTTTAGGGATTGATGGTCTTCGTCGTCTACCATTTGACATTGCAGAAGCTAACAACACCACGAATAATTTTAAAAAACAAAAACGAATGGCAGGAAAAAAGTGGATTTACGCATTTATGCTAAGACACCCACAACTGTCGCTTCGTTAGCCTGAATTAAATTTAATTGCACGTGCACTTGGTTTTAATTAAGAGCGAGTTCAATTTTTCTTTAATCTACTTTTAAAGTTATACATGGAAGAAAAGTTAACTCCAGACAAACTTTATAATATGGATGAAACAAGTTTATCAACAGTACAAGATGGTCAGATAAAAATCATTAGTGCAAGGGGTAAAAAATGAGTCGGAATTATGACTAGTAGTGAACGAGGAAATTCAGTTACAGCCGTAGTTTGCGTATCTGCAGCAGGATTTTATGTTCCACCAATGTTAATATATAAACGCAAAAGAATGAAGCCATTAATAACTAATGGTGCACCTCTAGGAACTGTATTTATTACTCAAGAAAAAGGTTGGATGTCAAATGAAGGTTGTTTAGAATGGCTCAATCATTTCATTAAAGTTAAACCATCAAAACAATCAAAAGTTTTGTTAATGCTTTATGGTCATGTTACACATGCAATATATTTGGCAGCTATAAATCAAGCACGAAATGCTAGAGTGCGTATGGTATCACTATGTCCCCATACTACACACAGACTGCAACCATTACACGTTGCATTCTTGGGAACACTTGGTACATACTATGATGAAGCTATGCGAAAATTGTTGCGGCCACGTATACCACAACCAGTAACAACTTGGCAAGTGGCTGAATTGTTCGGTAACGCATATAATCAAGCAGCATCATTGAGAATTGCTATGAAAGGATTTCATAGCAATTATTAATAATGCTAGTGGATTGTGGCCTTTGGACATAAATGTATTCACTGATTCTGATTTTACAGCCTCTTCATTTACTAACGTTGGTCTTTCTAGCAATCTTCAGTCATCTGAATGTATAGATGGGACGAAAAAACTATCTACAGATAAATCAAGTGAAAAAATATTAAATTGTCATGTTTCAGTTTCAACTTTGTCTCGTTTGTCAGCGGTAAAAAATAAGATCACGAACAACTTAGGGGGCTGATCTAACAAGTTCCCCATATAGAAGTGCTCTAGAAATCACACCAAGAAATCAAAAGCGTACACTAAATCTAAAAGCTTCCAAACAAATTTAAAAATCTACAAAAAAAACTCACAATCAATCCAATAACTGCCAAACTATTGCAAAATCTAAAGAAAAAAGTAGCACTTGATTCAATCACCACAGACCAAATAAAATTGAGCACATCAAATAAAATCACAACCACAGCACACCATAAATCACCACCATAATCTCAAGTGCAAAAGCTCCAAGAAAAAAAGATTTTTTAATTGCGAAAAAATATTTGTTGTACTTTTTATTTGTTGTTATATCTTAATTATTTTTTAATCAAAAGCTGTTCGTTTAATTTTTTCTGTCAGCCATGTGTTTTATAGCTATTATTTATTTAAATGTTAGAACTGTTCCATTTAAGGAATCTACGTGTTCCATTCAAGGAGATCAGTTGCCTTTATTGGAACAAAATAGTGCCTTGAAAAATTAACGTTTATTTCTAATTAAATGAGGTCACTAATTGAATAAAGCATAGTAGAATTGAATGTCTATATTATTTAATTCATAAAGTCTTTCATAGTTAAGTCATCTTTTGTTAAAAATGATTTATTCCTTAAGTGTTCCAATTTCGGCAACTCTCCCCTATATATAAAAGTTTACAGAAGTTGTAAAGTTTTGAAAGTTAATCGTTCACTCAAAACAAAGATTTATATACTTTGGTCATTTTCAAAATTCATTAAAAAAAAACTAAATTATTTAAATGGTACATATGGAATAGACTTACTATGACCAGTAATGTATTTATATTCAGTAATAATTATACGGGTCATGGTAAGTCAGTTATTCCATATATTTAAGTTGTCTCACGTTTTTTGAAACTTTTTTACCAATGATGTTTAACAAATTCCAAGCGGGTGTTATAATATTATTTAGGCTAGTACTGATATCCGATTCGTTGATAAATAGCAATTCGCGCAACGTCTACTGAAACGTTAAAGGTTTTTAAAGTTAAATATAATAAAAACTTTATCTTATAGCTTTAAAAAGTAAACAATAAATAATGTTATTATATGTGTTTGATTATTTTTCTACCTCTTACTAAAACATATTGAAGTAAGGAATAAGTATAGAAAAATTCGGTGTGGAATAGATTTACTAAGACCCGTATTTTACGGGTCATGACAGCTAGTCCTAATATTATTGCAGTATTTTGAAAAAGTTAATGTCTTCAAAAAATAAAAAGATAGAGAATTTTATAACGTCATATTCACTTAAAGCTAATGCGTTGAGCATTTGTTATTTAAAACAAAGCCTAATAATATATATACTTTAAACTAAAAAAAAGAAAGTTTCATGCCTATCGGCAATCATCAGCCATGAAGTACAAAATCAAAAATATAAAAAACCGTTTAGAAATTACAAGCTACGAAAGAATGAGTTCTCACGTCATAGAACAAGAAGACGTAATGGAAAACTAATCTCCGCTTCCAAATAATGAAAGGAGAAATTTCTTTTTGTGTCTACATTTAGAAACTAATTCGCCTCTTTTGTTTAGCAGGCTGTCTCCTTTGTAAAATAATATTTTGAATTTCTCATTTAAACAAAGCTTACAAATTTTTGACGCAGGATTGTATGATTTACAGCGTTTAATAATATTCCATTTAATTGAAGATGTAAAATTGTTTTCTTTTAATTCCCATATTTCATTAGATAACTCAGTGTCGTTCTTGTACTTTTTTATGTTAAAAGATTTTAGATGGTTCACATAGCATTGCTTAAAAGAGATTTCGCTTATCCTAACGTATACTTTATCTTTGTATTGAAGTTTATTTGAGCTTACGGTGGCTTGGTAAACAATGTTGTTAGAGAAAACAATTGTTGTTCAGTGGACAAAGAAATTTTTTAATGTTGTTTCAGGATTTTTCTGATAGTTTTACATGGCCACATAAAATATAAATCATGGCTGATGATTGCCAATAGGCATAAAACTTTAAGTTCCATTAAAAGTTTTTTTTTTTTAAATTTTAAGTATAAAACGCTCTGTTTTTGAAAAAATATATATATCTTAAATATTGAGAACTCTTCAACGATCAAGAGTTTAGTATTTTAAATACTAAATCATACAGCAACAACCCTTGTTTTATATATAGATTTTTTTTTTACTTTTTTTGAAGTTTAAGTGTGGCACACAGCTGAAAAGTACTTTTTTTTTTACCCAAATTGAGGTTTTACAACCAGCGTGTGCCACATTTAAACATTATTAAATTCAAATTATTTTTTTTTTACATATTCTCGCAAGAACCTATATAAAAGAATAAAACACTCTGTTTTTTTTTTTTTTTCAACACTGAAAAACTTTTAGAAAAGTCGCTAAGTAATGTCAAAATAACGATTTTTTTTTTTTTTCAATTATCGTGGTAGCTTTTGTTTCTGCGTGATAAATAACATGTAGACATGGAAAAAACTTTAAAACTACGTATACCTATACTTATATCAAATTGTGATGCTTTGAAAAAATTTCAATGATCGGAGCCTGAGATCTAGAA